ATATATTTGATTACATATAACACTCTTGTTTTATTTTATTTTATTTTATTTTATTTCATTTTATTTTATTTATTTAGCCAATTGTTTTCAAATTTTATTTAAAGTTCTTGCCTATAAAATGTTAGATATAGCAGTAAATCTCCACTGTAAAGCTCAAACAAAACAAGTCTTTAATATGTCTGTTAGGTCTGACAGTTTTGTTGTATAATGTTGCATTTAATGACATAAAAAACTGATATTTTGATAAACTGAATGAGTAAACATTATTTCTGTTGAATCATTCGATGTAGGTTTAAATCCGTCTTGAGTTTTTCACACGTTCCTGATGTTCTGTGTGTAAAACGTTTGACCTTGCTCTCCCTCCTGTGCAACCCCAGGTACACGACGGCAGTCTGACCATCCTCGGCATCACCAGAGATGACAGAGGAGCGTACACCTGCAGAGCGTACAGCGACCAGGGAGAAGTGCTTCACACAACCCGTCTGCTGGTTCAAGGTAGAGCGGCCTCGCACCACCGTTCCATCATCAGCCTCTAAAATCAAACGTGTGCTCTGCTCCCCGTGTCTGAGTGTGTCGCTGCATCCAGCCCCGGTGTTTAGTCCTAAAGGCAGAGCAGCACAGCTCTGCGGTGCACCGACATGTGCAACACACCTGGCAAGGCTGTATCACTTCAGTCCGATACTTTAGTCTGGGGCCCTCTTTATGTGAACGTGCGCCTACAACCGGATCTGTCTGAGAACGTCAGTGTCTGTCTCCGGTCCATTAAGCWGGCTCTCTGTTAGACACAGATCAGATAGATGGTGGTGATACCAGCCTGCAGTTCCTCTCTGTCTCCTGATACAGCACGGCTTCAGAGAGTTAACGGGGTGTATTKAACAAGCAGCTGAGCATCTTTTATGGCAGAGTGGGCATCGGGTCTGTTTTAATGCTCGACTACTTTTAGGTGCAAACAACAAAGGAATTACTATTACAAGAAATGTTACAGTACAGTATACAGTATACACACTCACTCAGCTGTGCTCATGCTCAAACTAAGTAGAGTGCTTCTAAAGTTTGATACAATAAAGCCATAGTAAGGATGTTTTAAAGTGGAGTTCCTATGAACAGTTAATATTTCAGCTGCTGTAAGTTTCTATTTTTGACCCATTTTGGAGTTTAATTCAGATCAGATCATTCATATTTGCCCTTCACACCTGCTTTTCTATTGACTTATGTATGTATGTATATATATATATATTTGTACTTATTGTTACAAGTACCAATAAACTTATTGTTTATTAGTATTTTATGTTGTGATGGTGAAATGTTTTTAACATGCATTGTTGGAGGATGGTGGAATGACTGCTGAGTTGAAGCATAGGTAGACACTATATGTCTGTTTTGGATAAGTGTATTTTAACAAAATATATGTAGACCAAAATTAGGGCAGTATGTTTATGTATTTATTGGGGAGGAGGGGGGTGTTATGCATAATTGACTTTAGTTATTCCCTCATCTAAAACATACCCAGAATGTTGCTTTGACTCATTCGTGCAATTGGAGAAATCCTTGATTCTCATGTGGTAGCCTAGCCTGGCCCTTGCCCTTCCTATGCAGTTCCGCTCAATTCTAGTTTCCCTTCACTGCTTCGTCTAGGATTTCTCCCATAGACAAGGATTTCTTCAGGAGAATTTTCATCTGGGCCAGTCAGCAAACAGAAGGCGGAGTTTTGAATGATGGTGATTTTCTGCACAGTGTCTGTTAGTTTAGCATACGGCAGTGGAGGAAGTGAAYGAAGCCAGTCCGTGTTGATAAGACTTCCAAATTAAATTAAATTTGTCTGACAAAGTAGCAGCTCTCATTTACAGTYGTCTCRTTCRGCTCCGTACTTCTCTCCTCTCAGTAGGGTTGTTTACAGCACACGCAACTTCCGGTTAGCTTCTTAGCTTAGCCTCCTTCACAGTGGAGCTATACACATACGTCGCGGCCAACCGATCCACTCATTTTAAACTTCAACAGAAGCCACGCCTCCAGCAAGAATCGCAGCTCTATAGCCGACAGTCCAGACCCTTGTCCGAAGCAAAGTGAACGACAAGGGTCTGGTTTTAACCAGGCTAGTGGTAGCCAGGTGGAGCTGCTTAAACGCTCATACAAAGCACCTCACATAATACTGACACTGAGCATGCGCAAGAGTAGCTGTGAAAGGGTCAATTAGCAAACCTGCATATAAAACCCTCATGACTGCATCCCACCCTCAGAAATACAAATCAGATATGGGAGCAGCGCTGGTTATCGCAGCTATCGAAGCTTTTTTAATAGTTTGGAGAGAAGCCGGCTTGGTGCTGCCACTCATCCCAGCTGATGTATGAAGCTGCGCACGCTGAGAGGAAAATAAGCAGGAGCCTTTTTGGATCTGGACCCGCTCATAAAAGACAGCTTACCTTTCATGGCTTCGGCTGTTTTATTGAGAGTTTAGAGAGAACCTGCAGAACCTAAAGGGGATGGAGAGGTTGCAATGTGAGTCACGCGTGAGCTGCAGCTCTGACTACTATTAAGGTTACAGTAGCTGACTGCTCACTGTATTTTACATCAGACCAATGAGATATTGTAAATAACATGTAGCGTGTGCTTTTTCTCACACTAATGTGTTACAGCGAGAAAAGAGTCCATCCACGCTTTGGATGTGGAACAAGTGGAGGCCTGTTAATAACAGCATTAACAGCATTTTCTTTTCTCATTATTTGTTTCAAACAAAGAAGCATTTTTAAAAATTTATTAGTCGAACTGTGAGACACTCAAATCACTACAAAATTTCGGCAAGGCAGCAATAATCTACTCTATATGTTGATAATATATTTATGTACTCAGTAGGGATGCACTGTATATCCGCTTTAACATCGGTATCGACCGATGTTGGTCATTTTTTAGAATATCGGTCCAATAGGTTAAAMTGGGCCRATATTRACATCTGATATTAATTTCTCACTTTTTAGCTTTGTGTTTCCGTTTTGGGAGGGGAAATGGTTGGTCGAGAGTTATCTGTTTGATCATGATAGTGATAGTGATGCTGCACAGCCAGTAATAACTGAAGTAGAGAGACATGTCAGAGGTCAGAGGTTACAGTACTGAAAAAAGACACAAGTGTATTTGTGCGTATAGGTATATAAATAATTTGTGTGTTTGTATAATATCTGTAAATATCAGTTATCAGCCATAACACCAATAATAATAATATTGGTATCGGCTGAAGTTTTCATATCGGTGCATCGCAGGTGTCTGGCTTGTCTTCAGGTTACTTAGTAATATGGCGCCTTCACGACTGAACATAATAAGACAACTTTGTTCAAGAAATTCTCAACCATTTAAAAAAATCAGCTTTCCGTCTGTGTTTTTGTTTGCAGCCAATAGAGAATGGAGCACACTTTAGGACAAGGTTTTTAGGCYGCTTTAGTCTCTGAATGCCTGTGTTATTTATTTATTTAATTTTTAAGATCTTTTGTTCAAACTTTCAAGTGATTGATGGATGGGATCATTTAAAGGTTGAATTTTAATATTTTACCACTGCTTTTATGTTTGCTGGGTTTGRTTTGTAAGTTTTTATTTTTTTATTTAATTTTATTTTTCTTATTGTCCCGTAGYTCATTTTAACTGGACTTTAAAAATAGAAACAAAAATTGCTGTCCATCCCTGGTATTTRTGTTTCATGGTTTTGAGTCATAATGTGCAGAGGTGGTTAGTAACTACCGTAGTTACATTTAATAGCATATATTATACATACATATATATTTAGCATATTCAATAGACCACAAAAACTATATGAACTAGTTGAATCCACATTAGCTTTGTTAAATGCAAAGTTCTGATGGTTTTTTAATAGTTTTTTTTTCTTTAAGCAGTTTTTGTGGAGTGGTTCATGTTTCAGATATGTTAAACCTTGTTTTAAAGAAGCTAAGGAAAGAAATGGCAATAATAA